TAGGAAAAAGTCGTAAGGAAAAAAATGTTAAGTGGTATTTACCTGGCGACGAGGAGAAACACGGGGAGCTGCAACTCGACTGAGCGTGCCTGTTTTACAAAACAAACAACGCAAAGCGACTGGAAAATGGGAACGGCACACAAACATTGCCGTTGCATAGCCAACGGTGAGTCGCTTGTGCTCCATTCCCGCGCTCCCTGCTCGCTCACTAGCTCTATTGCTTGTCATCAAATCAAAGAAGGTGGCAAAGAGCGCAATAATGGCGCCGGATTGTCAGAAACGTACCAAGTTGGAAAATTAATATTAATATTCAACTGTTGTCGTTGTTTTTCTTTCTGCGGTTGCTGTGACAACAAAGAAATTTGACTCTGAAGCGAGCGACAGCAATATGACATGCTTAATTAACAGACCCGACAATTTAAACCATATAATATGCTATAATGCATTTGCATCAGACATTGGCCAAAGCAGACTAAGTCAAGTCAGGCAGGTGTTGGATGCTGGGGCTGAGGCTGGTATTGGTGCTGGTCGTATTAGGGCTTTCTGTCTGCTCCGTTTAGGTCATTCAACTTCACCGACAAAAAAGGGCAACAGGCACACATCAAGGAGTAAACAGGGTTTAATGCGTGCAAATATTTGATCAGGCCACGTTTCAGCTTCGCACGCGGCACTAAATCAACTCATTTCATACGACTCATATATATTAATAAACAAAAATGCATAAAGTGGCCATGGTTAGACAAATATATTTCAAAGATCAAATTTTATTAAAAATGTCAACAGTCAAATAAATATTTACAATGCACATACACACCCACACCCACTTAAAGCACGCTCAGTTGGTGGGTGAGAACAGTTCATAACACTGAGAAGAGTTACTGTCAAAGCTCTGTCTTCTCTCTGTTCATTACTTAACAGAGAGAAGACTTGATTAGCTGCACAGAGCATTAACAGTTATAAATGGTCATGTTGCCATATGCTTATCGTTTCCTGTGCTTTAACACAGTTTTCCGCTTAGATATTGCTAAAACTCAACTACATGCCAATCGAGCAATATTTCACGTTACGTTATTAAAGTAATGTGTGTGACTATAAAACGCACACAGCACACGTGTCGTGCCTATGAATTTGACAAATGCAGAAAGGCCGACTGTCGCGTTACGCACCCACCGCCAAAAAGGTGTTGATTTTGCTGACGGGTAAACCCGACCGAAGGTCTACCGTAACTCAGTTGGGTGGTGTAAAAAAAAAAACAACCAAATTTAATTGCTTTCGGAAAAATTTGTGTCACTGTTTTATATTTATGACTTCTAAGAGAGCAAATCAGTTAAGCCAGGGGGACAATGATAGTTTTATAAGGCTTTCGGCACGTCATAAACGCAGCAATCCGTGAGAGCATAAAATCATTGTGTATACAACTCTTATACCTCTAGTATAAGAGTGTGTGTGTGTGAGAGAGAGCCATAGTCGAATATCAATTTTGACAAGCACTTATAATTGAATACAGTTACGGGTGACAAATTTATAACTTATCACCCACCACCCGTTGAGCACAGAAGACGACGACGGCTACACCACTACCACCACCACCACAGAACAGCAAATAACACAGCATGAGGTCCTTCCGTTTATGATTATTATATTTTCTAATACACTTACAGGCAGTAGCAGTTATTAGAGTTTTTTATATAGGCAAAAAGTTCTTGTTCCAGTCAATAGAGTCACACTATATGACATGAGATCAACCGAAACTGCAGTATTTTGTTTATTCTTCCTAAAGAACGGTTTCAATGTAATATGCTTGTAGTATAGAAACCCTTTTAAATATATATGTGAGGGTATTTAATGTTCGTTCTTTTGGGTATTATTTGTATGGCCTTTTGATGGTGGATTCAACATAATGAATTGCGCTTTTGATTTTATAACTTGTAATTTGGCAGTGTGACCAACTTGAAAAACAGCCCCAAATATGCATTGGTCCCACTCTATGAGAAGTTTTGGTAATGTGAAATCGATATTTGTGGCCATTAAATGCAATGCAGTCACGTAAAAGTAATCGATAGAGGTTTGAGTTCATCAAAGTAATAAATGTGTCAAGGCTAAATCAGATTGTATCAATCAAATTACAAATCAGTTTTTCAGAGTCAATCAGTAGTTCCCTTTGCTCACGTATGTTTCTCAAGATAATTTATCTAAATTTCATAATCAAAATCTCCACAAGATATACAAAGTATAAATACATATTTCAACAACGCATAAATCCATTCGCGCCACAGATCACAAGATATTAGAGATTAATTAAAGCCAAAAGGGAAATTTACATATTTATATATACGTATATGTATATAAACTATATTTAGAGCTCATCGGACAGTCATCCGCGTTGTTTATCAATCAGAATATGTTAAGAGCCGTTTCGCATGTGTCATATGTGCAAAAATTTGAAAATTGAATCACTCAAAAATAGACGCTGACTAGGTGGATGGATCTAAAAATATAGCATAGCTACGTATCGAACAGCGCAAACAACGAGCGTATTGAGCATATCGAACCACACACCTGGCTGCAAACGACCTCAGACAATTTATTTCATTTATTTTTGCTACTGAAAACATTTTTTCCTTCTAATATATAATATATCTTTAATAAATATGGCATCGAATGAATGTGTGCTGCTGCCTGCTGGCATGGCAACGTCAACTGTTTTTTGTTTTCGTGGTCAACGTCACTTCCAATACAGCGCAAAGCAATGGAGAATATGATCGACTAGCAGATACGCTACGGCAGGCGTGAAGATGGTAGAACAACAATTAGATATAGAATAGTATATATGTACCTTAACTATAAAGAGGTGTCTGATAACATCATTCAAGTTTGATGCTTAAATCATTTGTTGGTTATCGATCTTATGAGAAGTTTGAATAGTCGGATCCATATCCATAATACCCTTTTTTATGACTACAGGGTATAAAACGAACCAAAAATAGATATATATATGTATAAAAACATTCAGGTAGATCTGATACCTCGTGATCAAGGCAACAGGCTCCATATTCGCATCAGTTTTGTTAATTATCTTTTATAAGCTATGCAAGTTTTGTTTTAGATAAAGAGCTTTAAAGCGTATTTACCGAATACATTCCTTTTCTTTTACCTTTAAATATATATGTTTAATATATTATATAAAAATTTACATATGATAATACCATATTCAGTTGAAGTCGAGTTCGTTAATGTTAATGGGGTATACGCAATGTGTCATATACAACAGTATTAATATTTCTAAAAATTGTTATACAATTTTTGATTGATAGAAAAAATTGTTTTTAATTAAAACTATAAATATTTGCATTATTTAGCAAAAGAGCTGACACAGCTAACATACCGCACTCAGTCCATAGGGTATATATGACGTTTAATTTTGTATGGAATCAGCTCGGAAAGATTTGTAAATATTTTTCGAAAAGTTTTCAGGTGATAAGAAAAGGCAAGGAATTCCAATATCCCAATTCTTTTAGAAAAGAACTTTAAGGAATAACTCAAGAGCTGAGCGAATTTTGAGATAGAAACCAATAAGATCTCTTGAGTGAAAAGCTGAAAATTCAAGAGGAAGCTTTTACGCTCAGCAGTCAAAAATTTCTCCTCTCTCTCTCTCCCTGTCGCTCTCTTTCTCTTGAAATGCAGCATATTAGCATCATATTTATATTTAGAAAATCGTTTCGAATACGGTTATGGAACATGCTTGAGCAACCGAAATGAGAACTCTGAGTATACAAATAGTATATATATATATATATATATATAAATATATTATATATATAGATATATGTATATATCTGCCGACGTCTACACTTAAGTATAGCCAGAGAATGTTGAGCAATTATTTTGTACACGAAGTCGGTCGATCGGTCGGCAGCTAAATATAGACCATATTGGATGGCTCAATCTCTCTCAAGACTAGAAAACGAACACCCACTAAAACTTAATGATACAGGTATGCCGACATAGCCAATTAATTAAAAAAATAATACGAATAATAATATTAAGTGCAAAGTTCGAAAACAAGAAATTCCAAAAAAATACATTCGATTTGTTTCCATGGAACCCACTGGGGCATATATTATTGGATGTTATAATGTGTTTGTGTGTGTGTGTGTGTTGTATATAGAGCGAGTCCAAACATTGCTCATGGATTAGAATTAGAATTAGAAAAAAAGAAACCGAATATTTGGAAAAAAATATCATCAAGATTTCGCAAGTTCTTATAACATATAAACTAAATAAGCTAAATATACATAAATATATCATCATCATCATTTATCATTTATCATTTATCATTTATCATTTATCATAATCATAAACATAGGAGCAATAGCTCTATAGTATATCTCTGCTTTCATATTGGAGCATATTCGAAATAGATAATAATAATAAAAATAAGCGATTGCAGCTCTCCGTCTACACTTCGTGCTCTGTTAGTCTCTGTGCGGTACAGTTGTCAATCGAAATGTTAGCTGCCACTGTAACGCACTGTTAGCCTGCATTATATTGCTGTTTCTATTATAATAATAATAAATGTTTTCAAAATTTATGATTTTCTTTTATATTTTTGTGTTGCCTGTGCCATTTCGTCGCTGCTTGATTCGTTAGTTAGCGTTCGATAGTTAATTTCGTATTATTTCTTTTATGTTTTTTCGTAAGTTCTCAACTTCAATTTTTTTTTGGTTTTTTAAGTTTTGTTTATTTTTTTGTGTGAAATTTTTCATTTGTTTTTGTTGTTCCATAAAGCTTATTTCTCACATAACCTAAGACAAAAACGTTAGCAGTTTCTGCATTTCGTTCAATCAAAAAATCGTTGGAAAACCGAAGACTAAGTTAGCTAGCATTGCGGATGGAGTTAAGTTAAGAGTGTTTCTTTTTGGATAGATTAAAACAAGTATATTAAATCGGAACGATTGTTGCTGGATAATATTGGATTATTGGTTAAGTTAAAGGTATTCTGAAAGGCATTTAGAACGTTGTCAAAGCGCCCGCGCCGAGGCCGTAGCCCACGCCCTTGGGTCCAAAATTGCGGCTGTAGCAGGAGCGGCAGTAGATGTCGCCATCGGGTCCGTCGTTGAGGTTCGTGGAGTCCAGAGACTTACGGCAATCGGAGCAGTAGAAGCAGCGTTTGTGCCAAATGCGACTCTTGCTGATCATCTGTTCGGCGGCAAATACGGCAAAGCCGCAACGGGGACAGCCGCCAGATGTCTTCTGGCCATTCAGTGGACCGCCATCGGGAAACTGGATGGTGGACTCGCCGCTGGTGGAGACCAGAGTGGGAGCATGACCGTAGCCAAAGCCCTTGGGTCCATAGCGCTTGCCGTAGCAAGCCTTGCAGTAAATGTCGCCATCGGGGCCATCGCAGGCCAACACCGAGTCGAGTGGACGATGGCAATCGATGCAGCTGTAGCACCTTTTGTGCCACATCTTGCCCTTGGACAGCTGCTGCTCGGCGGCAAAGACAGCGCCACCGCAACGCGGGCAGCCCTCGCCTTCGGGCGCCTTGATCGAGGTGGTGTCCGGATTGATGAACGGGCGACTGGAGCTGATCTGATCTTCGGTCAAGCCATCAGTTTGCAGGAAACCGGAGCCGCAGGCAAATCCATAGCCATGTGGACCCCACTTCTTGCCATAGCAAGTCCTGCAGTAGACATCGCCATCGGGGCCATCGCTGGCATTGATCGAGTCCAGAGTCTTGTGGCAGTCTTTGCAGTTGTAGCACTTCTTGTGCCACTCACGGCCCTTGGACAGTTTCTGCTCGGCGGCAAAGACGGCGCCACCGCAACGCGGACAACCCTCGCCGGGGCGTGCCCTAATCTTGTCCACCTCAATAGCGGCACGCATAGATGGTGCACCATCGTCGGTGGCATAGCAATCGGATTGGAGAGCGCCGCCACCCTGACCATAGCCATAGCCCTTGGGTCCGAACTGCTTGGCATAGCAGCCCTTGCAGTAGATGTTCTTATCGGGCGCCTCGCAGCACAGAATCGAGTCGAGGCCCTTCTTGCAGGTGCCGCACTTGAAGCACTCCTTGTGCCAGCTGCGTCCGCGTGCCAGCATCTGTTCGGCGGCATAGACATAGCCGCCGCATCTGGGACAGCCCTCACCCTCCGGTGCCCGGGCAATGGCGCGTGGCTCAAGACGAGCGCCATTCCTCACCACATCGCCGTTCTGGAACTGTGCGCCACTGTCCATGGAGAGTGTGCCGGCACCAGTGCCGAAGCCGTAACCCTTCGGTCCATATTTGCGTCCGTGGCACACCTTGCAGAAGAGTTCCCGATCGTGCTCTGAACAATTGGTCGAGTCCAAGGATTTGTTGCACATGGAGCACTTGAAGCAGTTCTTGTGGAATACATAGCCGCCAGCCAGGCGCTCCTCAGCAGCGTACACGCTCTTGCCGCAACGCGGGCATTTGGGGGACTCAATCGGTTGTAGGGGCATTCTGCGACTGTATTTGTTTTTTTTTTTGTATTTAAACTTGAGGTACGGATATTCCTTTTTGGATTGCAATCAAATTGAGCTCTAACCACGGCTTGGGGTACGATTATCTTTATCTATGTATATTATATGCTTATTATCTGAAAGTGCAAACAGAGAAACAACATACAGTGCCTGCATCGTCTCGAGCGCTGCAACTTTGGAAAGCGAATTGCAGCAAAGCTGTGGCAATGGTGGTGGTGGTGGTTTTTGGTGGTTTTAGTGGTGCTGATAAAGATGATGACGTTGACGATTTTAATGCTGCATGAGATGAAGAGGAACATGTGCATAAACTCTTGCCAAAGCTATTGGACACATATTTTTAGTACATGTACGAACTCAATTGGTTTTGTTTTTAGGTTTAGCATTGATTGATATTTTAGTACATGCACTAAACAATTAAGTCTATATTCTCGATTTCCCAATTGTTCATTGTATTTATGAAACAATTTTTTAGTCCATTCCAGCTGTTCTAGTCTATTATTTATATTTTAGTACATGTCCCCAAACTAATATTTGTTCTTTATATTTTTGTAGACTGCATTGTTTAAAACTGATTAATAGATTAAGATATATTCGCAGTTTTTGTTAAATATTGTATTTTAGTACATGTACCAAAATATTTCCTGTAAGTTTTAGATCTCATATAAATATCCGTTTAAAACTCCAATTTCCTCTGCTCCAATTCTCCTCTTTAATGTTAAATTTAGTTTAGTTTATTGCATGTGCTTAGTAATACTCAGAAATGTTAAACAATTTTTTAGTATATGTACTAAAATGATGTGTAAACTCAAATACGTGTTTTTAGAACAAGTACTAAAATGTTTGCAGGCTTAACTAATTGTGCGTCAGATCCTAATTTTCCCACTTCTTAGAAGATTATCTTCCCAATTGTCATTTGTCATAAATCACCATTGGGCACGTCCATTGTCTATGCTAATGAGTTTATATTGAAGAAGAAAATTACCCAACCGCAAGAAGCAACAAGCCCACCTACGTAATAAACACACGCATCCATCGAGTATATATAAAATTTATGAACAGCAAATGGAAAACATTTGAAAATTCTTTAAAATAAAATCATGTATTTGCTATTTGTTGCTTGCAAACAAAACTTTGGGCTATAGAATGTGTATCTGTAGCTGAGAGAAACTTTTTTTTTAAAAATAACACAGGTGAATATGGACACTGCCCGATGACAAACCCATTTTCCGACCCACTCTGACTCACTATCCCAGTGCCAGAGGCAGTTTTTCCTTCTGTACAGTGGGTGAAATATGTATGCATGCAGTTGGATTAAAAATGGTTTCGATGGAATGAAGCTGTTTACATTTGTTAACTTTCCAACATCAAATATCGGTTAAAAGCCAGCACGCTACAAGATATATATAGATATATATATTTATATATATATATATATGAATATATGTGTATTGGGAGGAACAGCACCTACATCGATCGACACAAACACCACACACGACAGAACTGAGAACTGAACTGGAAGATTGCTCAACGCAAACTAATCTATAGAATTGTGAGTGCACACGGCACACGGCGCTGAGAATTCCCATGTTTCAGTTTTATTTGAACATTTTGGCTTTTCTTTTTTGTTTCATATGAGAAACTTTAGATGCGGAACAATTTTCATCTAATATCTCGCCAGAGAGTGGGATGGAAATATGAATGTGTGCGTAGCTCTGCTATGTGTGTGTGTGTGTGTGTGTATATCTCAAAAGCAGCCAAGGCAGTGGCGTCTGTGGTTTTTCAACTTGTTCTACACACATCACATCACACACACACATGCCACACACGAGTTTGAAAAGTTTTTCATTTCACATCATTCGTTCGATTCTCTTATTTTCTTCTTTTTTTTTGAATGCGGTAACAGGGCGAAAATGTTGTGCGAAAATTCTTGGTACGCTTGTGCGAATCTGAGTTGGGGAAACTGCATTATCATGATTAGCTAATTCAATGCAAAGACGAACTGTTCAATAAATTGTTTACACTCTCTGTTCAGGGTCTAATCCATAGAGGTCAAGTGGCATTTGTGTTGGCTGATCTCTAAAAACGTTCACATGGCTAAATAGTTGTAAAATTTCGTTAGTTACGCACAATCAATTTTCAGGCCAGGCTAGCTGGCCAGTTAGAACATCTGTGCACTCTGGGCCAAAAGCTATTTCACTAAAAAACAGATCTATAAATACGAGTTCGTGGGAAATGTTTTTTCTTTACGTTCCCCCAATGGAGCCAGCTACATTCTTCTTTTACGTTATTTTCCTTCGCTTTTCCTCGTTTTTCTTTCGACTTTTTTCATGTGTGAGGTGTCAAAATGTGTGCCAAATTTTCTATAATTAAACTTCATCATATGCAGTTCTTGATTTTATTTTTCTGTGGCAGCTTTTTACCGATATTTGTTCACGAGTTTTATCTGTATGAAAATGAATTGCAGAAACTCTCGTATATATACATTTAAATATATATATATATATATGTGGGTGTATTTACTTTTCGTTCGTTATAATAAAAATTCGCAAAAAACGTATTTTTTTCTTAATTTGTAGTTAGAGCCTTTTGGCTTCGATTAGCAACGATTTTCGACTGAGCGGGCTAGAAAATTGTCAACTTTTTGTTGGGGGCCGCTACCCTGGCGCTATGTGGACTCTGAGAATATATCTGTCTGCACACGGCACAACGGATAGCGACAGCGAGATGTTTGTCGTCTTAGCCAAATGATAGGGATGACTATATAGTCAACAAACAACAACGATAAAAGCAGCAACAACGAGGCGAACAACAAATCAAAATGTTGTATAGTATAAGACAGATTCAATGCGATCATTGCCGTAAATTTGATCAAAACAACATTTAAAATGAATGAATAACAGATTTACCCGAGTTTTCCAGGAGTTATTTACTTGTCTGAAGGCAAGAAATGTGTCTTTGTATACCCTGTAATAACATTTATTCAAGATTGAAGTACGCCAACTATTATAACTGAGCAGTCGAGAGTAAGTAAAGATACTGGGTATCTATAGTTAATCAGTTTTTCATGTATTTTAATGTTAGTATTAAACATAATTAAACTTGCACACTTGCATTTAATTAAAATTTAAAGTGCATCATTTCAGCGTACACATTTTTCATATTAAAAAGAATTTAATGGGGCATGGTCCACGTCAATGCACATCAATCACATCGAAAAATAGAAAATGGCAAATACATTTATGTGAATATTGATGGAATAGAAGACGAATACAACAAAAATAAAGCAATTAAAAATAGGTTTAAATACACAAATACAGATAAGCGAATACCCCGTGCTAACGCAGAAGAAATACAAATAAATTTTTATTTTTTTTAAATTTTAGGAACACTTGAATAGATATATAAAGCGCTTCTTAAATTTGGCTTACCTCCGCTGTGTAACCAAAGCGTTTGCAGCAGACAATAAGTTCACATAACATAAGTTCACTTAACATCAAAATGTGAATTAACATAAACATTGTCTGTTAAGACACTATTGATCTTAGTATAAGAGTGAGCACTTGAAGAAGCTCTGCTTAACATTCAAATAGGATAATAAAGTAAGATCCCACGTGACGTCACTAACAGAACTGTTAGTTAACATTAAATATTACATTACTGCTCTTTGCGTATCCAACTGAGGACTTTTAACAGTGGCTTATAAGCAGCTTAACATAGTAATAAATATGTTGATGGTTGTAAGAAATTTACATTTGTTTAATGCTAAGTAAATATAAATAACAATATTTAATTAATGATTTCGGTTTATATTGTACAAAATATGTAATTTTTTAATTTAGTATATTGTAAGACCTATTTCTTCACACGAATAATACTCCCAACCAGTTTAAGCATATATATTGAGGGTATTATTGAAAAACACGAATTTCTCGAACATTTCTTTCAGGTATGCGCACACATATTTTAAACATACATCGAGTTGCGCACCTTGTGCTTGACGATTTACATATATGTATTTATATAAATATTCTGTCTTCTTTCAGAAAGGTGTATGCATTAATAATTGCATTTCTACTTATAAATATGATACGAAAGTTGGCAAAGCGCCTGCGTCGACCACTCGCGTCGAGTGCGAGCGAGTGAAATGGTTATAGAAACGGGTCGACTAGTCGGTTCATCCTTTCCCATCGACTGTCGGCTGTGTGAGTAGCAGACACTTGACAAGTTGTAGACAAGTGTACGAGATTAGGAGACTATTATTCAAAAAAACAACTTTGTTGCCAGACGAGCGAATGCGTCAAGAGAGAACAGAAGTCTTAAGAGTGCGGGATGAAAAACACTCAAGAGCTACACTATACTGAACTATTTATAGGATCGGTATGCAAAGACGCGGAGATAAACAAAACTAAAAAATTGACTCACCCGCTTGGAGCTTTTCTCGATTTCCTTCTCGAAGTCCGTTAGTGGCGTCAGAGTCACGTGCACATCCTTAATAATATCCCGAAATGAGCTGTAACAGAAGATAACAAATAATATGAATACATGGAATTCTCTTTCCAGTTAGTTTATATACCTATTGTGATCATCCAGGTTGATGCTGGTAATCGATTTGGCAATGTCCACTTTTCGCTTTTTGGACACTGTAGAGTTGCTAGCCGATGGTGCCTGATTATGGCTTGATGTTGTTGTTGACGTTGCAGTTGAAACTGATGGCAGTACCTTGCTGTTGCTGCTGCTGCTGCTACTGCTTAGATTAGTGCTGCTGGAGCCGAGACCAAGCGGATTTAGAGTGCTGCTTGTGGACGTACCCGCGCCCGACAGACTGTCCAAATTGCTTGTATTGCTAGTGCCGGCCAGGGATGATGACGCATCCTTTAGAGCATTACCACTATTGCTAGTGCTTGTGGCATGCAATTCCGCGCCGAAACCCGCGCTCAAATTGCTCGTTAATTGCAGTTTACCCGAGCCGCTGCCCGTTGAGCTGGTCAGAGCCGACGTGCTCAGATTCTGGGCATGATTACTATGTTCACTGATCGAGGCAGCAGCTAGACTGCTGCCGCCAGTGCCGCTGCTGGATACATGAGCTGTTGAACTTGAGCTGCTGTTGGCCGCAATGCTGGTAGCAGTGGGCATATTGCTGCTGCTTGTGGGTATATTGCTGCTGCTGCTGCTGGCAGCAACGATGGCGGCTTCTTTGGAGCTTTCTTTGTTTTTCGATGACTTTGACGATTTCTCGCGAGACGACGAGGAGGATGAGGACGACGAAGAGGCTGATGAGTGAGAAAAACTATTGTTCGATGAATTACTACCGCCATCCTTATCCTTTTCCTTGCTGGACCCAGAGCCAGATTGCTTGCCTATGCTTTTACTATGCTTATCCTTATAGCTGCTGCTGGAGCTGGTAGCCGATGACTTAGTGCTCGAATTGCTTTGCCCTATTGCATTGCTGGTGCTGCTGCTGCTGCCGGCGCCAGTCACATTACTGCTGCTGCTGCTCATTGCATTACCACTGCCAGGAATTGAGGCTGCAATGTTGCCACTAAGAGAACCCGTTAAGGTGTTGTTCATGGTATTGTTATTAATAGTAGATATTGTGCTGCTACTGCCGTTGCCAGCTAGAAAGCTGCCTGCAGTTGAAGTGTTTGTAACCACGGATGAGCTTGAGGAGCTTGTGGGATTTGGCAGTCCCGTTGCTGTTCCAGAGCTGCTACCAGATGATAGCGAAGATTTACCAGAGGCATTTGATTTGCGCTGCTTGGATGAGGATGAAACGTTGTTTCCACTGCCCGATGAACTCGTGGAGCCAGCAGCTAATGTGCTGCTCGTTATCTTAATGCTTGTCGCTGATGTGGATGCCGAGTTCATGGTCGAATCAATTTCCTTCTCGGGCGACGAGCACGAATCGGAGGAGGTGTCATGTTGTACGGGTTTGTAGGGTGGTATGGTTTTGACGTTTCCGCCCTTTTTCTGCGATATGTTTATAAAAAGGCATAAGCGTATAATAAACGAGACTCGAGTATAGACTCACCAATTTACTGTAATGATGCTGGCAATAGCCACAGTACTTCACATTATCTAAATAGTTGCCAGCTTCCTCGCAGAGCAGGCCCAAGCTTTGGGCACAGGTCACATGGAACTGTTGCTTGCAGTTGGCCTTGTTGCACTGCATGCAGGCTCCAACATTGGCACGATTCGGTTTTCCGATCTCCAGACATATGTAACAGGCTGTAGATTGTATAGAAACTAGTTAGTAAGGGGTTCGAACAGGCACAGTAAACATGACTCACTTTTAGAGTAGCGTTCCTGCGGTATGAGGGTCAATATAATGGGCTCCATTGTGGTTACATTGCCAAATCGAATCTCGGGTATGTAGAGGGCGCAAACAACGTGCGCCCAGCCGCTGGTGTCAGTCTTCTTGAGGGCACCATCTCGCGAGGGGCAAATCTCGCAACGTACACGCGAGGTGCGCTCCTGTGATTCGCATTTACGACAATACCAGGGACCGGTGGGTACGGTAACGATGCCATAGCATGCCTGATGCACGGCAACGGTGCAGTTTTGGCCGTCACAATAGACGAGCGGGTTCTCCGGCCACCCCCGCTCGTCCGAACAAACGCAGCATCCGCCCACCATTTCTTTCATATCGTCCAGCTTGAACTTCTTAATTTTGATTAATTTTCTATTCAAGTTTGTGGAGTGAATGGTGTCGTCGTTGCTGCTGGAGTCTAACAACTCCAGTTTTGCATTTAGTGATGAAGGAATTGCGCCTGTTTAGAAACACCCTCTGCAAAAGGGAAAGAATAAACAATTAAATAGTGTTTAAAAGAGATCAAATCAATGGCCAAGTATGAGTGAAATACTATTCCAGTGATTAATCAATCTTATCTCTTATTTAATTGAATGAGATAAAGAAATTTAAATATTCATGTTTTGCAATTAGAAAACTAGACCGAATAGGCTGTTAATAAATAAAACTATTATTAGATTATTAATGAAACTGAAGACATCTCCTTCAAATTCATAATTAAAAATCTCAGGCCCATTAAAATTAAATAGAGAAAGAGGTAATTTGAAGGTCATTCGAATTTTTAAATATATAATTAAGTCAAAAAACTCTAGCTCTTTGAACTGAATGAGTGAAAAAGGTAATTTGAGGGCCATTCCAATTTTATAATATATAATTATTTCAGTTGCTCACCAGAAAATGATTAATTGTGGTCAATTGACAAGTCAACTAACCTCAAGCCGTGTATTAGCTAAAACGAGAAATAAATATATGTGATGAAAAGGCATAATTGTTAAATCATTAAGGTTAATTGCTTTTAGGCAAGCTCTACTGTTGACACATGAACAAAGTCCTTGAATCGATATATCGTTGGCATGTGTTATCGATATTTGCATTTGGCCAATTGCATTGCAGGTGATTTTAGCAAGGTCAATGGCGCATTCGTAAACAATAACAATAACAACAAGAGGCAGGCCGGGCCGAGCCGGTCCGGTTTATTTATTAAATAATACTTAACATGAATATTCTGTGCGCTAGAGTGAGACAGTATATGTGTACAATTTACACACACATACAGAAGTAGGTTCTGTTTGCTAAACACAATAATACGCACGTCAGACACACACACAGACGCACACATGCGTATATAAACTCTCAATGTCAAGGTATTTTTTTTGCTGCCGCCAACACACTCTGAACAGCAATTGTTGTTGTATCTGATTTTGATTTGGGGCACACAAATTATGGCGGAAAACATATCTACATCACCTCCTAATGGGTATAATAATCGAAGCCCATAAAAATACCAACAAATTTTGGTTACGTGCAGCGATCACAAAAATACACACTCACACACGCGCATAGGCATTCGAACGGATGGGCATTCCACTGTTTGGCTGGTTCATTGAACTTGTCGGTGGCCACAAAATAAAATGTTGATTTTTTCTTGATGTAAACAATACCACTTTCAAATATATTACTATATAAATATATTATATAAGTATTCAACACAGGCATACATTTCAATAAACAGTTGAATTTGATTATTATTGATTTACACCAGGGTACAGCTTAACATTCTGTTTAATTAGCACATGAAATGTATGCACATGCATATGTGGGTCGCATCTGCAGAGATTTTATGGTTGCTACAGCAACAGAAACAAAATCATAATACCGACAGCCGTCGAATGCCATGCTGGCTTTCATTCACGTTTCGTATGCATGTGTGTGTGTATGAGTGTGCATTTTGCCTATGTATGCGGGTGTCTTGTTGTACCGTTATTAGGTCAACGTGTTGCCAACTGCCGAAAACGCAATGGCAGTGATGCGCGTGCTGCCAACTGCTTGCGAAAGCAACATTAATAGTGTAAGTGTAAATAAAAGAACTAAATATATACACACGTACCCACGTACACACGCACACACTCACACGAATGAAACGAGGCCGCCCCGCACGCAGCTTTTGTAATGTTTACAATACGAAGTTGGAGCAGGGGTAGCGGCAGAGCAATGCACTTTCGACGAGAACGCCTACAAGCAAACAGATACACACAAAGATTAGATGTATATACGCATACATATGTATGTAAGTATCTGTATATATAAAGCAAAATGCCGCATAAGGGGCGCATTTGGGGAGGAATGTAACGGCACTTTTTATGTATGTTGGATGTTGTATATATATATATATATATATATATATATATATATATATATATATATATGTTTATATATATATATAAATATTTTCATCACTTGAAGCAAGATGCTTTGAAAGGGGCTGGGATGACTTTGGTATGGGATGCGTTAGAATTGGAGTTGGAGCAGACAGCGAGTGCGAGCGAGGGTGGTTTGTGTTCCGCTTTCACACTTAAAGCATGCCACACACTGTAATTTCAACCAGTTTTCCACAAAAATGTGTATACTCGAAGCTTGAAATTATTGATTTTCTGCGATTACATTTAAATTAACTCGACGTGGGCACCTTAAAACGTCATCACATTCACTGGCAGGGTGAAAATTTAAACCAAGTCAAAAACAACAACAACAAAGGCAAAAGCAGCAACAAAAAACAACGAAAACTAGTTTCAGACCAAAAACAACATGAAAATGCGCGCGGTCAAAGTGGTCAAGCAACGCGAGGCGGCACACGCACGCACACATATACTCTTTCACACACACACATATACACTTCACCGAGAAGAAATATCTGTTTAGGGAGCGGCAGCAGGCCCACCGACACCGATTGGGAGTCTTAATGTTGAAATTCTTTAGATTAGCGTTTGTTATTTTCAGAGCCAATGTAATTTCTTATTGGAACCGCGCCGAACAATGTGAATATTGATTTTCTTTACCAGGCACTTTTTTGTAACTCTACGTTCCAATTGCAAACTCACTCTCATTCCCTTTCTTCACTCTTTTTTGTTTAATTTGTAAGTTAGCTGCGATTTATTGAGTTTTTTCGCCGCTAAAGCCGGACAGCGATGGTTTAGCCGCCCACGAGTTACAACGCACGCAAGTAAAATAATCAACACACAAAAAAGGCGCTGAACATCCACCAACAGCAGTAACACCAACAACAACAACAGTATGCACGAGTATTTACCTTGTAACTTGTTTGTTGTTGTTTCGCTCGCACCACAACCCAACTCGAAGATACGCCCGAATGAGACAACACCTGCACACAGACTGCTGTACACAAATGCAATTCTTCGACGACGTTTTCAGCCTGTGCGACACTTTTGCTAGTCAAAACTGCATTAATAACAATTTGCGGCTTATTAAACCGACAGCGAAATATTAAAATTATAACAATTTTACTAGATTTTTCACTTTTACAACTTTTTAGACCACTGCGACCGTGATCAGCAATGGTAATATTGCAAGAACAAGAAATTAATCGATGAGTTCAAGCAATCGATTGTTGTCAAATGTAAATTACATTGAAATAGGTTGGCAGCACTGACTTCACCCGCAGCCAACTTCATTTATCCAGCTCTTATTAACAGAATTCTGTTGGGTCAATTGGCGTCAACAGACTGTAATTGCAACAGCTGTTGCGAAAAATCAATTTTGCAAATCCGTCTGTGTCTGTGCACATAATTTATTTAAAACATAAAAATGTCCTCTAATGCTGACTGTTTTATTGTGCTGCCAGCCAATACCGAGTCTGGCTCCCTAATTTTCGGTCGCAATGCAGAGGACGCTAAAGCAGTAGGCGTGGCATCGGAAATTTGCTACTATGATGTCAGCGACGTTCTCGAGGGGAAGGTAAGCCAACAATCAGCCAGGCAAGCTTAAATGACTCATCTTCAATACTTTGCCACTTGCCACATATGCCAGACTGATGGTGGAGCTGCTTTAGAGCCGGTGACTGATGTTGTACGTGTTATATTGCAAAAACCGAAGCCCTCCGTTTGGGGCGGAGACTTTGGGGCCAACGAAAGAGGCGTGGCTATAAGCCTAAGCTGGACTGATGGGGAACAAGAGTCGACAGACAGTGATAGCCTACTGGGCACGGACATTGTGCGGTAGGTGTTAAAATTCACCACATACATATATATATACATACATATGTATATATACGCACGCCAATATATATTTATATATATTTATAATTCTCGTATCGTCGCAGGATAACACTAGCCGAGTGTAAAGATGTGGAATCAGCCGTTGACCGTATTGGAACATTGGTATCCAAATACAGCAATGACAATGCCAAGCTGAACTTTATAGTGTGTGATCCTACGGCTGCCTGGATATTGAGCAGTGCCGGCAAAGTGTGGGCAGCCGAGAAACTGCAAGCCAGCTGGCTGCGTGTGCCTAGTGGTGGGCTAAGCGTTACCACAACTATTGATAAGTCGAGTGACGGTCTAGATACGACCGCTAGCTTTGCGGCTGCCCACGATGCGGAGGCGCAGGCACCGGAAGCAGATTGGTGTGGCACCAAGCCAGCTGGCGATGGCAGCTACACGCAACAGGATATGTTCGAGACGTTGCGCTTGGCGAGCGGTGCTGCTTCACGTGCGGCCAATGTATCGGTGCTAACTGGAAAGGGCAGCTCCATTTCGTGTCATTGGTTCACCGGCACGCCAAATGCCGCCGAGTCTGTGTTCAAGCCGTTTGTGTTTGCGCCCAAGCCACGTATTTCGCCGCTGACTCAGGTGCAGGCTGATACGGATCAAACATTGTTGCACAGCTTGCATGCCAATCGTAAGCCAGCTGCACTGGAGCATTTACGTAGCCTGGAGCGTTCCTGTGTCGATGAATTGAATAATTACTTTTCGATCCAGGATTATGCCAGCGAAGAGCTGGATGAGTTGCTCAAAGATTGCGTTGAGGCTGAGGTCAAGTTTTATCGTTAAAACGAATCTTTGGGTCCATCGCCCCTTGCTAATTATAATACAATGATATTCAACTAGCTTGCAACCAGGATGAATGCTCTTTCGGACGCACCAATTCGATTCGACTTCTTCATTTCATATATATATAAACAAACTAGGTACATCTTCGAATTGATAGGATACTCAAAAAGACTTCATCAGTGCGAATGATTTAGGAATTTTTCTCGTGTATAATTTCTAATTTCTGTAAGTTGTTTTTGTTTAATTTTATGTTTTTGCTTTTGCGTGATATTTAAATATGTATTTTTATAGAACTCTTCGTTTCCTATTGTGCAATCTCGATCTTCATTTCTAAGTATTATGCATGACATTCCATTTAATTAAAATTAGTTGCGGCTAACGATTTACATACTTGCATAAAAATATATATACATACATATTAAAAGTACATACATATATGAATAATATAGCTCTCAAATAAACGCATAAAAAGCTGCATTTATACATAAATATTATCTATGAAATTGTTTTAAGTACAAAAATGTGAGCATTTAGACGGACTCGACGACCAGGTTTGTCTTAAAAATTGTATTCTCATTATGGAGCGCTTCGAGCTTTGTTATCTCAAAGGCCTGATATACTTCTCGAAAGTCCATGATATTACGCGGCGAGCTGTCCATCCAAAACCGATCGAACTCAAAGAACAAATAGCAATACAGCTTGTGAAAGTCCTCAAGCGTGCTAAAGTTTTGTTTATGCAGGGCCACCTGATTATAGAAGTGGGTCTTTGCAGCGCCAGATCGCAGAAGGTTGACGGCCAAGGCGGTAAGATTGATGCCAACAATAGCATAGGTGTAGCCCATGGTGGGATGCATTGAGTGGAGCAGCACATGCTTGGCCGCATCATTGTAAGCGCGCGCAAAGTACAACAGATTCTCTAGACCCAACAGGCCCATGCCCCGGAAGTCAGTTTTGGGATCATCGCCTTGAAAGCCAATTTCTTGCCACTGCTTGGAGATGCGACCTATTAGCGGCGTTTCGGGCATCAGTAGTTGCCAAAGCTCTAACAGCTTTTGTTCGTGCTCCAGATTGTCCGAATCGTACGGCTCGGCACGCAGTTCCTCTACTTGATGCATTAAACGCTTATAGCCCCAAATTGTGGTCACACAATTGCCAAATATCCTGCCAAAATCCGGATGCACATTACTCTTAATATGTTTTACGCGGCCGACAATAGTAACAGCACGTGGAGCTATTTAGGAAAAGGTAGTTACAGTATTTGGGTGGAAATGCAATTTACTGTGTACTCACCGAAGTATAGTAACTCTCTGTCCGTGGCATAAGGGGCTGCTTCATCTAGTTCTCGTAACATTGTTTTTATTTCCAGCTGATTCGATTGTTGGAGGGAGCGTTCAATTTGGTGGCATCTCGGCGCACCAGCTTTTGCGCCATAGCATATGCGCTGGAGCTCGGAAAGGCGCGTGAATACATGCAGAAACCATTTGATAAACGGTCGAATGTAACTGAAGATGAACGGCACAATTTTGTCCAGAAGAAACATTTTGCGATGGATAATGTACACAATAATTAAAGACTAAAGGCTGTGTTTACAGCTGCGTTGCCATGGCGTTGCGTTTGGTATTTATTTTACACGCAAAAAACGAACACAGAAACAGCGTGGCCAGAGGTTACTTTTGTAAATACGCCTATATTTGTGAAGCTGATTGCAGCAATAAAAACAAAATGGATTACAGTGAAACTCTTTGTTATGCTTTTTAGGAATCGTAGTGTAGTGTTGTAAAGTGTATTAACAGATGCAGCTGTTCTAATAGAAATCTGTGGCAGCAACACTAGCACATCAGCTGATCGAGATTCAACAAATTGATATTAGCTTAAAGTTGGGCTTGAATTGTATAAAATTATTATTAAATGTAATGATTTATCTGAAAAACTAACAAGTTTTTTATAATACATTTTTATGTTTCAAGCCTTCAAATCATTAAAAAGGCAGAGTTATACTAGAAGTTAAAAAAAGTTTTTCTTCCTCTTCTTCCTTCTGTTAAAAAGGATACGCTATACAAATTTATATAAATATTTTGATAATACATTAAAATTTAATAGCCTATTTTCTTTAAGGAAACAGCCTTAGATTATTAGATATTATCTATATATTGAATTATATATATATGTTTTTATAAATTGGATGGAAGAATATAAAAGAAAATACAGAAAAAACATGTGCTACTGTTAATTATCGCCTTATTAATCTATATTAATGCTGAGAGCACACTTCTTGGGTTCAATTCAAACACATTCCAGATAATATGTGCAACGGAGTTTAACTTCCTAGAAACATAGGGTCAAAATGATAAGCCTATTTGGTTGCTATAGAGTCGTATAACAGGTTTTGTGTCTCAGATAGAGCTATCAAAATTTCTTTATTGTTCAGTTACAATCGAACACTTGATGGCAACAGTTCTTTCTAAAGATAAGCGGCGAAAATGCGAGCAGAGAACGGAAGACTATGGTCAACATTGCAAAATGGTGAGTGAAATTAAATTAGTTTCTACCTATATTCGTATGTATAAATTAATTTATATATTTTAAAATGCATTTTTAATAATTTTAATTTAATAGGAAAGTATGAGCTACGCAGTTTGGCCAAAGCTGACTTAGAAGAAGCCCTTAACGTAAGTTTGAAAACGGATGCTTGTATTTAAAAAAGGAATACATGCTAATTTAATTTGCACCTGCATAAATTTGCTAGTTAATTAATGAAAAATTAGTTCTGTGAAATAGTACAAGATATTTTAAAATATTTTCAATTTTAGCAGTTAGAATTTTGCACTCTGAAAGCTTGTGAAAATCGATTTAGAACAAATTAAGGAATGTGGCGTCGGTGGTGTAATGGTTAGCATAGTTGCCTTCCAAGCAGTTGGCCCGGGTTCGATTCCCGGCCGACGCAGCTTATATTTTTGATTGTTTTTTATCCTAGTGTTTTTTAAATTTATTTATGTGTAGTGAATTATAATTATTGTTATAAAAAATCATAATTAGTTTTTGAAACCATTTTGATATATATATTTTTTTTAATATTAGGTGCTGAACGATTCTTTCTTCGTCAATGAATCAGTTTGCAAAGGTTGTGAAATCAATTTACCAGAAAATGGTCAAGCGCGCCAAGAGTTGCGGGAGCTTTGTCGAATTACAGCGTATGATGGCGTTTCATTAATTATAAAACACATGAAAAGTGGTCGGATCGTTGCCGTTTCCTTTAATAAGTTGCAGGCAAGTCAATAGGTTATATATTATTAATTTATAAAAAAGATTATTATATATATTTCTAAATTCTAGTTTGCCCCACCACCTGGCGAGGATAACTTCTTTGTAAAGTTCTATAATGAACAGTCGAAAAGTCCTCAGGCTAAAGCCCTAATGGACTATATGATTACGATGGACTCGAAGATTGACGTGTGCACTGAATACCACATGGATTGTGTATGTGAGCTAATGTTTTTGGCTACATTGCCGGATTTTGGCAGGCAGGGACTTGGTCGTGCTCTAACTGAAACCACAATTCGGTTGACGCGTGAATTAGAACAGGGGCAAGGATTGGAGGATGTGCCGCCTGGCTTGCAGGATAAGCGACCTAAAGCGGTTACTGCACTCTGGACCTCATTATTCACCCAAAAAATTGGCAAAGCCGTTGGCTTTCAAGTGCTCAACACAGTACCCTTCAGTGAATATGAGTACAATGGCAAACGGTTTGATGAGCGCATTGAGCCAATTCATAAATTCGGAGAGCAAGTTATGTACAAATTGTAAATAAAACAAAAACATGGTTAAATAAATAAAAGCAATTGATGCAAAAAAATTAGCTGTGCGTCGGCCGGGAATCGAACCCGGGTCAACTGCTTGGAAGGCAACTATGCTAACCATTACACCACCGACGCCACTGTCAGTTTGCCTCAATTATGTTAACTTAAGCGAAAAACAGAAATGGTTAACATTGGAATAGCATGGCTATGCTAATATCTTATGTTAAATAACATGTTCAGTCAATAGTATCCGTATTTTTACAGCTTGCCAATTATTTCAGTTTTTTGTAAGCATTGCATATATTTGAGTTATATAAAATGGCATAAAGCAAATAATTAAACATAAAGAAATAATTAAATAAAAAATTAATAAAATTTACATGTAATATGTTTTAAATTAGAAACTACCCTCAGCTATATTTGTGGCGCCATATAAAGGTACCTACCGTTAAATGCAATATATCTGCCTATCCGAGGGTCAACCCTTCGCAAAGCCCATTGTTGATTTCAATTTTGCACTTTACATCAGCACTTTAATAAAAAGGGAAAAAACTTTTCAAATGAGATTAAAATTTACACACAATCCACACACACACTGCGTTTCCGAGTGCGCGGCCAGGCATGCACTCAAGAGGATTTTGCCATCCTTAATGCACAGTGTCAACACCATAGACGGACGTAGCACAGGGATCAGGCCAGGGCAGGGCGTCAGCATCAGCATCAGTGTGATAAGCACTTCGCAGAGGTCCGACCCCGATCACTTGCCATACCTTAACAATACATTTAGGTTTTTAATTAGAATTCGAATAATAAAAAACGAACTGAAAATCGTTGTGCCAAATGACAATCCATCCAGTTTGAGGCAACCCCCTTCGCCGGCAATTGCCTGTAATAATGATATAGGGTCCCGGTGCATTGGTATTAGATAGGGTAACTCCTCAGCAGAGGCGGTTACGGTTGATTGTGCTCTATGACGTGTACATAATTCGCAGCTTGATATGAATTTAACAGAGTGCGGCAGTACCTAATTTGTGGGAGCTTTAATCATATAGTACACGATCATATGAAAAATAGTGACAGGTGTAAGACAATATGGTATTTTATAATTTATGTTTCAAATGTTGCTGTATTTTTTATAGTTGTTATTGAGAATACTTTATTTGCTCAATAATTTCGAGATTTATAAAAAATATAATGTTTTTTCTAATTCAGATTTGTTTGAGAAGTTTGCTCTATTAAAAATTTAGGCTATTAATATTCAATGTAGAGGCTTCTTTTATTTCATATATATTTTTTAATGGTTTCTATATTCTTCATGTAGTTCTATGTTATTTATATTCTCGTATACTAAAGCTATATGTGCCCTATACAATAAATAGTTTTAGGACTTCCAGAAAAGTATATGCATATTGAAAATTAAAACAAAAAGTGCGATGGGCAATCCTTTAAGATATGTTATATAGTTTTTAATAAGTTTTTAAAAAATATTTGAGTTATTTTTCGATTTTGTATTAGATTTAGCTTAGGATTAATGCGCAAAATATCGAAAACTTCTGGCTTAAATCAGCTTGGCTTCAGATTAGTTTTTAGGTTAGATTTGAAAATGAATTTTAGTTTTTTTCGCTATTATCCAGATAATATATATATAATTCAATTGCTTTTTATTATTAATGTTGAGGCTGAGTCTCAAACTTGTTTTTTATTTTATAGGTAAATTAAGAAAATATAAATTAAAAAGCTTCCTTCTTATATAACTTGATCTTGATTTTGGCCAAATTCAGCTCAATCTACGCAATCGGTTAACTGATTTGCCACTAGGCAACAACTTGATAAAATTGAAAACTAATTTGTTTATACAGCTGCACAAAGCGAGCAGCGTTGGCAATGAAAACAAAAGCAACAGCAACAGCAACAACAAACGTTCAGATGGAGAGGCAAAAAAAAACAATTTGTTTATCATGGGTAGCCTTAGTGAGGTCGCCGTCGTCGTCGTCCTCAATGATGATGAGGCAGTCGAGCAAGAGCAGGGGCAGTGGCTGGGGTAAGGGCAGGGCCAGCAGACACGGAAAAAAGGACAACAAACAAATGCAGCGAAGGCGCAACTCAAACAACTGCCTTGAGGGATGAGTCGTGTTATCGAGGAGGGCATACATATATCTAAATACATTCATTCTCAAATGTTTCGAGGTATTTTGACACCCCTGTCGGGGCGCCGTGAAATATGCAGCAGATACTGCAGCAGCAAAGGCTGTTTTAATGGAGCCATTTCGTAGCCGAATCCTAGAAATGCAAATATTTGCATTAGTCTTTGCGACACGCTGTGCTAATGCTTAAAAATTATGCTGGTTGACAAATTTGTGTGTTGTATTGTTTTTTTCTTATGTCTGTATTTGGCAACTGTCATTTGGCTGTTGGTTTGAGCTTTGTTTGTTTGGCTGCCGCAGTCCATTAATTAGGCTTAGATGCTGCTTGAGTTAAAAAATGATGAAATCATTGCTCATATTGCTCGCGCTGCACACGCAAATAGTGCAGCTGTCCGTTCTCTAGCCCACGCCCCCACTTCTTCAGCTTAGTCCCATGCATAAGGACACATGCCACACCACGCCACGCCACTTGTATGCCACTCGGGCAATAATTCCGCTTAAACAGATAAACGCGTTCGTAATCAAAGACCAATTTAATGTGTCTACCATATGAAAATCAGCAGCAAATATCTCATCCCTTGTCCGAAGGTAGAAAAAACTCAACTCACAAACTTAATAAGCTTACACTACCCCAAAATGCAACCCTGCTGAGGCGAAAGTTTTTGGCTGCTTCGCTCTGATTGGCTGGCTGGGCAGCTCAAACTCCGCCCATCTGGCAACACTGTACGATGTGGCACCGCCGCCATTGATATGATATGAGATAGACAACGTTGGCCCAGCAGGAGCTGCTAGCCCAGCTGCAACCCCTCGCCGCTGCTCGCTTATCGGACGAGCGTATCCTGCGCCTGGCACCGGCAAAACAATTTCATTCGTTTTGTAGCTGGCGGCGCGTTCGCTACCAAATCGCGCATTCCAATGTTTCAATTAACGGTATAAATATTTTCAATTCCGCGAACTGATTCGAGTGCATGCAAATCGGTTATAGATTATATATATGTGCAATTTAAAAGAATAATTTGTGTATATACTTAACATTACGGATATTGGATAAAAACACTCGAATAAGGTAAAACAGACTTCAGCGACGTCTGTCCATTACCGTCGGTATTCATTATATTTACTTATAGTTCATATATATATTCTATATTAATTTGAATACTAGAATATTATATTTTTGTTAGTTTAGAAAACTTTTATTAAACATTCCACAAGAAAAAAAGCGGATTAACGATACCTAAATGTCTAAATTAGTTTCCTTAAAATGATTTTATATTGAGAATTAAGCATCTATAATCGTATCTTTTCTGGAATATTACATGTTTTCTTACCTACCTATATTAATAATATAATTTTTAAATTATATTTGAAATGTATTTGAAGCTTAAACTTAAATATAAATATTTTTAGTTATACATTCACTTCATTCCTGTGGATGATCCTAAATTTATGATATTTTCGATTTGATACCAGCAATAAGATTTTATACATGAAGAACTTGTTTGTTCAGTGATCCATGGATCAGTTGATACAAATGAAAGCAGATACAAATGAAAGCAGATATAAACTCTGAATCCTGTGCAGATCTCATCCTTTCAGAAGTCTACTACATTTATGCATTGCATGCGTATGTACAATAGCAGACTACCATACGAAAGGGCTGACTTTAGTGTGTGAAAGTTTCTAGAATCGGAAGTATTCATAACATAAATTTATATACGAAGCCTGATCTCTCTAGCTCTAATGAGCTTTAAGTTATGCTTAAAAAACGAACTCAAAATATAGATATTTATCGATAACTGTCAAGTGGGATGAAATATTGAAAAAAGTATAGGTTATTTTTATATAAAGTGTAGCATTTTTCAAGTTTTTAACTAGCTTATGGCTTCGCTGGGATCATATGAGCGGAAAGAAAGAAGACAGATGGACAATAGACAGATGGAAATGGCATGATCGCGTGCAGCTGCTTAAGCCTACATAGAGTTATGGGAATTACCGTGTCTTCCTCTGTCAGTTACATTCATCCTATGCTTTTTTTTTAAGATTTCTTTGATAACGGGATCTGAAGCTTTCATAAGGGAGATTTTATAGATCAATTGGGGATTCTTAGGAATTATAGATGTAAACATATAACATTTACTTCTTGCAGTATTCAAAAAGCTTCCCATTATAACATTCATTGAACTACTGCACACCTTGCTAAAGGTATTCCATATCCAATTAAGCTCCAACCAGTCATAGGTGCTATCAGTTGCTTATCTAATCGAAAGAGTTTTTGTATGTAAAACACGTTTATTATCAATTTAACAAGCTGGCCACAGCAGTAACTACCGATAAGATTAGCATGAATATAGTGTAAACAAATGATGTTTTATGTCCTTTTTAGAGTATTCGGAAATCAAGAGTCAAAAGCTGACGACACGCGCCGCACTTCCTTCGATCGGCGCGTGCTGTGCACGTGTTCTCAATTAGACTTATAAACGGAGGCATTCGGCTTGGCGTAATGCACTTGTCGGACAATTAGGCACAATTAGATTGAAGAGAAAACACAAGTAAGTGCAGCTAGTAAAATGTTTTCCATGGACAATTTCGACTTGGAGGCGACGATGGCTCGTCACTTCTTCGAGGGTTCGCAGGCAACGAATGCCTCGAACTCCAGCTCAGAATATTTTTTCGGAGATGATCACAGCTCGGAGAGCGATGAAGATGACGATGCCTACAGCAGTGGCTTCAACAGCGACCAGGAGAACAACGAAAAGACGTGAGTGTTACTCGACATTAGGTAGCCCTAGGCCCAGCTGCTCCGATAATAACCAATTGCAGCTACTCAATGTTTAGCCGACGCAGTCATAAGCCACGCCGCTTGAAGTGCGCCTCCCAGATGGCCCAGCAGCGGCAGGCGGCGAACCTACGGGAGCGACGTCGCATGCAGAGCATCAATGAAGCCTTCGAGGGTCTGCGCACCCACATACCAACATTGCCCTACGAGAAGCGACTGAGTAAGGTGAGATCTATTAGCACTCTTGTATAGATGTCATATATGAGAGTAAACTATTTATAATTGTATTTGTATTATATTTATAATTATATATATTATATTACGTTAAAGCAATATAACGTAAATTATTTTTCAGAGTAAGATATTAATATGCTATAGAAGTTAGTTTTAGTCTGAATCTCCCAATACATTTGTATTGTTAATCTAAAAAAATGCTTTTAAAAATTTCAATTAAAACAAATATTATAAAAATATTGAAGAGCATTAATTGAGTTTGAAGAATTTTGGTTAAAGTAAATAATTGTAAAATTGTAAATCTGATAAATGTTGTTTCATAATTAATATTTCCTTTATTTTATTTCCTTTCCCTTTGGGGTTTCTTTCAAAGTTTCTCCCTTTGTTTTCTTGAATATCTTCAGCTATTATTCCTATACTCTCTATCTCTATCTATTATTATCTATAGTTTATCTATATCCAACAATATTAAATTAACAGTTAGATTTTTACAGCATCTTCCTTGTCATGCCCCAGTAAAATGCTCATTTGATATTTAAGAAAATGTTAATTAATTAGAAATTTATGTATTTAAACTTTTACGTGTCAGCATGAGATCAACAAAATAATTGCAAATAGTAAAACAAAAGGAACTATAATGCTCTATAAAGCGTCTGTCATCTTTAACTGAAATATCTTAATTACAATTTACCTATATGAAGATCCCCTCGATTATCGCTCTCCCAATGATATCTAATTTAATGAAATATGCTTCCAGGTGGATACGCTTAAGCTGGCCATCAGCTATATAACATTCTTGAGCGAGATGGTAAAGAAGGATAAGAACGGCAATGAGGCTGGGCTGAGCTTGCAGCGCAACTATCAAAAGGAGCCGCCCAAGAAGATCATACTCAAGGATCGCAGTAAGTTCTCAATCAATCTGTCATCGATCAGTCAAATCAATCAGCTGTGGGCGGCGCGGTCAGGCGCCCGCTAGTTCTAAATGTAATGACATAATTCAGCTGTTGTTGGTTGCATATTTAAAGTGCATTGATGTGGTTTAGGCATCTCGTGCAATTGTCGGAATGAGGGTTGATCGCTGTGCCCGTCCATGGAGTTGCATCTATGGGGTAGCGGCTGCGTCTGCCTAAGTGTAACTAATTTGAATTTTCACACTTCTCGCTTCGGCATCGTTTTGCGTGCTTTGCGTGACTGCCAGTCAAGCAAATTGCTGTTGTTGCTGCTGCTGTTGCTCATTGCTCGGCTCGCATCGATCACGGAATGCTGTGAACTTGGTGCCAGGGTTCCGTTTGGTACGCACACGAAAGGTTTTCATTAGCCTGCCCGAGGGGGCAGGGAGCAGGGGGGTGCGATACAATGGATTAGGGTTTTCCGTGTGCCAGCTCATAAAAGTTGCTTTAGTTACGGTTTTTTGGTTAATAATTTTTCTATTCAATATGTATGACACTGCAGACCCGCAAATCCAACGTTCTCAATTGTTTCGATCGAGCTGCAGCATCTGCATAACTAATGCCCAAGCACTTGGTAAGCCAAAGGGTGTTCTCAAAAACTACTATATAGGTAGGGCTCTTTCGCCGTCTGATTTTGAATGATTGGCAGCATTTTGAGCAGTTTTTTCCACTTTTTTTTAGCTTTTCAACTTATGAGTGTCACAACAGAAATTTATACTTCGCTAGAAACTAGTTTGCCTTTAAATTTATAACTATGATAATGAGTTGAGTTTCTATTTTCTATTTGTACTTAGCTCAAAATTTACAACCTATGGGAATATTCGAAAATTGAGTAATTAGAAATCTTCTTTATATGATCTTTATTGGAAATTTATTTTGGAAATATATTGTGTTAGTAGAAAAGCGTGTAGAAATTTAAATTGAAACGAATATTCACTTATTTTAGTGTGACTAAAAGCGGTACAAAGAGTAAGCTAAACTAGTAAAGTGTCAGCAGACCGCAATTATCTATTGTATATTATATTGTATTTGTAACGGTAAAGCGGTTAAGCGCGAAGTTGGCTGCGAAAAGATTCAATAAGATTGGCTGATGTCATAAAACGAAATTACTTACTGAACGACCCAATATAATAGTCGCTTAGGATCCAAGCTCCACAAGAAACAATAGGTAAATCAGTGGCTTATTTAGGGAAGGTGCTTAAGTCCTGGTAATATCAGCTTTAAAGCTGTCAAAGTCTAGTCTATTTTTTTAATTCCTAAGCACACAGTGGATGAGGCTAAGAAAATCAACAATTTCCAATCTAGAATTTGTAAACAAGAAAAAAATATTTCAAATTCCCATTCAATTCATAAGTAATATCATCTTTGTTGTAATGCATAAGACGAGGATTCACAGAACCGTAGATTCATAACTACAACTCTGTGTGATGAATATTAGGAAATAATATAATAATAAATAATAAAAATAATATATACTTAGAAATGTGAGTGTATCAAGTGTAATATGTTCAGGGAAACCATATAACTATGAATAACTTCTAGTTTAATAAGCAATGATTTCTATAAAAAAAGCAAACAATTTGAGTTTGTAGAAATTTTTTATTTGCTTTTTTTTATTCAAAGATATTTTTAAGACAAATGTAAAAAGACTCTGAAAGGTTTTAATATTTCTTTGTTTTATACATTTTAGTTAATTTTAATTAATTTTCTTAATATGATGTATTCTTAGTTGTCACGAGTTATTCATGAACAATGTGATTAAAAGTACAAAAATAGTTTTTGAAAATGAGTTAAATAAATAGACAGACAGCTGGGAAGATTTATAGAGGCCTAAAAAAATAAATATTATATGTTTAGCTATACAGCCTGAAACAATTGAATGGAGAAATTCTGGAGATCTTTACTAAACCCCAACTAAATTAAATCCTGGACAAAATATATTGTTGAAAGTACATGCGACATATAATTTGTTTCGATAAAGCCCAACATGACACACCTTGCTCAATTTCCAACCTGAACTCCAACTCCAGGTGCACACACACACACTCGACAGGGGGAACAACAAAGTTGTTACAACAACAAAGCGCAATCGACATAATCATATCGTGAGAAATTCGTTATAGTCGAGCAGATGTGTGTGCAGAACGATTCGTGGGTCCTGTTAAAGGGCAAACGAGGCCAAAATCACCAAAATGGAGGCAGTGGAGAAGAAAGCTCTGTGATATGGTATGGCAAAAGCATTTTCATGCTTAACGGGCATTAAAAATGTTGAGCCAAACAACAGACAAAACCCGAAAGAAAAAAGAGAGTAAAACAAAAAACAGATATAGATAAAAATCGCAAAACCCCAACACACAGCGCCCACTTAAATGACAGCAAGTGGATTGGTTTTCACGACTCGCACGGCTATGGCCGCGAGGCGTGGGGTGTGGGGCCGGACACACGCCTGGCATATGTTCACACCAACTTGTAAGATGACGGAGCGGGTGTGAAGCTGCCTGTGGTAAGCGAACGATGGGGTGGCATGTCGCATATTTGAGCAACACCCGCATCAAGCACTCGAAACACTGTGCGCTCTACAAATTACCAAGCTTCAGTTGTGATTGGAGTGGGCATGGGAAAGAGAAGGAGAAGCGGTAGGGGAGTGGGCATGGGATGTTATCCCGCGTGCAAGCTGATTGGACGCAATAGTAAACGCCGGGCAGGATTTGTGCTTGGGCTTTGTTTGCTTAAGGCAAATGGTGGACAGCTGCAACAACAGTAGCGGCCAAGCTGACAAGCAGACAGACACCCTGTTCGTGGCGTGATGAACCCTTTGCTTGTTTGCTCTGCGGCTGCTGATGGGCTTGTAATGTGTTCGCTAATGGCATTTGCTCAGTTTTTGGCAACAACTTTTAATTGACGGGGCGGCGCTTGACTTTCGATTGAATATGCTACCATAATATAATATTGAACTAATTGTCTGCGTTACAGCCGGCGGTATGTCGCATTCGCTATCCTGGTACCGCAAGGGCGATCGCTATCCGGGCAGCAAGCTTTATGCACGCACATGGACACCAGATGACCCCAATGGAGCGACCAATCAACCTCCGATTCAGCCGCTCTATACCAACAACGCTGCAAAGAGCAGCGGCTGCAGCAGCAACAACTCTAACTCTAGTCAAAATCACAATAGCAATCAGAGCAGCGATGACTTCAATGCCGGTGCTAACTTAAGTGATGCTGCAGCTGCTGCGGCTGCCGCAGCACCGAGCATATTTGGCAGCGGAGGTGGTCTTTAAGAGAATATTCTTTAACTATTGCAATGCAACGCTCATACTAGTCAAGCATGCTAGTCAACGATATGGTAGTGGCACCTTAAACAGACACACACATGCGTATATATAAATATATATATTCCAATTTTAAAATATTATAAAAAACAACTTGTTCTGTGGTATTTAATTGCTATAAGTTTGCTTACATCTAAATGTTATACTTAGTCGTTTAGTTTAAAATTAAATAAATACGAGTATTAAAAGCAAATATAAATTTGTAATTTTATTTTTCAAAAATAACAATTTCAGTATGCTCTTATTGAACCTTTAATTCACGATCATTTGTAGTTCAAGCGACGAGGCCAAAAGGCGCAATTTACAACTAAATAACACAGTTATCAGCACAATATATTGAACACCTGGCCTACAGCCCCTGTCGCTGCTATCATTGAAAAAACACAAGTGCAGTTATTTCTGGGGGTGGGTGTTTAGCTTGGGCAACTAGAAAATTATTTCCGGTCTTCCGACATGCACACGCAGGGCAAATTTTATAAAAAATATATATAAAGAGAATATTATTTTTAAGCGTTATAGTTCTGCTGCAAGCGTGGCATTTAAAAAATCATTATGATTGTCATGTTCAGGGCAGGGACAATCGTTAGATGGACAGCTGTCGCTCGTTTTGCTGTCCGTGTGTGTGGCGCGTGTGTACGTTTGGTAGCACAATTTAGATGTTTATCAGCAATTAGGCTTAGCCTTCGCAGGGTGGCAATGTGATTGAACGTTTTGATAAATCAATCTGATCATATGTAAATTAACGCGTCACTATTGTGTTTATGATTTCTGGCAGTTAAACCACAGATTTAATTAACTGCACAGCTGTGCGTTGCGATATGGTCACTCAATAATTTAAATCTGTGCAAAGCGCGCAGTGGCGTTGCCATACCGCTTATACAAATGCCTGAAACGCATTAAAGCTTTTTTCTGACGCTTTGCAACACTAACTTCCCGCACGCGCACGCAATTCGCTAGACTTTATTTTAAAATTATAAATAAAAGTAAATATGCGTTTCGCACAAATTGTTGTGGGACCTGCTGGCAGTGGCAAGGTAAGCTGACACAATTTATCCACTTGTTAAACCGCTTTTCAAATATATAATTGCCTAGCACAGTCTACATATTGCAGCTATATGCAACAGCATGCCATGGACAGCAAGCGAAACATTCAAGTTGTCAATTTAGATCCAGCAGCGGAGCACTTTAATTACACCCCATTAACAGACATACGAGAGCTAATACATCTGGACGATGCCATGGAGGACGAGGAGCTACACTACGGCCCTAATGGCGGTCTGATATTTTGCCTTGAGTTTCTTATTGAGAATCAGGACTGGCTAAAGGCGCAATTGTGTGGCGGCGAAGATGAGTTAATGCTAGGAGAGCCCGACGATGATTACATACTGTTTGATATGCCTGGCCAAATAGAGCTATTTACACATCTAAAGATGGGCAAGCAGTTGGTACAACTGCTTGAATCTTGGAATTTCCGCACTTGCGTTGTTTTCTGCCTAGACTCACAGTTCATGGTCGATGGCGCCAAATTTATATCAGGAACGATGGCAGCACTCAGCGTCATGGCCAACATGGAGCAGCCACACGTGAATGTACTAACCAAAGTTGATCTTTTGAGCGTCGAGGCGCGCAAGCAGCTGGAACTATATTTGGAGCCAGACACGCACAATCTTATGGGTGAACTTACCATTGGCACAGCTTTTGGTGAGAAATATCGCAAGCTAACAGAAGCAATTGGCTCGCTCATCGAGGATTTTAGGTAAGTGACTGTATACACTCTATATAGGCTCAGCTGTTCGACATTTCTCGTAATCACACAGTTAACTATCTCTTTAGACATCGTTTGATTATTAGGTGCAATATTTTATAGAACTGAATTTATTTTAAAAAAATATTTATATATGTATATTTCAACTAAGAAGGCTCGCTTAAATGCAGCAAGTACACTTAACGTCTACGATTTAACAATTGATTTATGCCTTTGGCTTGCGTGTTGGATGAAATGGATGTTCCATTTGTGAAAGGTCTGGGGGATTGTGCTCAAATGCAATAATCTCCTGCATACCACTGTTGGCAATCTGCCACAACTCTGGATACTCTTCTTTAAAAGTGCTGTACCACTTCCGTACCAGCGGATACTGCGAGAAATCAAAGTCAATTGCTTCCAGGCATAGCGTCGACGATACCAATGCAAAGTCTGCAATGGTCACATTTTCAGAGGCTGCATATTTGGTGCCCAAACGCTGCAGATACGTTTCAAACACATCGACTGCGTTCTCGACCTTCTTCAGCGACATGGGCGTGCGCTCGTAGTCGAAGAATATGGGCGCCATGCTATGCGCCGAAATGGGCGCATAGTAAAAGTTCATATTGAAGCACAGACGCTGATTGATCAGCGCCCGTTCAACAGGATCCTCTGGATATAGCGTTGATAGCGGCGAGTATTTATCGCACAAATATTGCATAATTGCAATGCTCTCGGACAGATGGAATCCATCGTCGTCCAGCACAGGTATCTCCTTTTGCGGATTCATCTGTGGATAGCAAGATAATTAATTTAATAATCAACCTGATGTTAGCTTAAAAGTATCCCACCTTCGCATATTCAGTGGTACGGTGCTCCAGGGCACAGAAGTCCACATTAATTAGCTGGTATTGAATGTCCAGCGCCTTGAGAGCCATGCGTACGGCCAGCGAGGGCGGTCCATCCGATACGGCGTATAGCTTCATCGTATAAATGGGTCTGTTTAAAATTATGCAGAAAAATGCGATTATAAATAAGTTGAGTTGTCTAGCATAACCGGTTTCAATTGTGGCCAAGCCAACAAGCAGGTTCCCATTAGGCAAAAGCAAATGTAAATGTTGTTTCTGTGTATTTGTTGCTGTCTTCGCGATATATTGTATTTTAAATATTTTAGCATTTACCCAATTGGTTGCTACTCCGTAATAGTGACGTGCGCACGCGCAGCTCTTAAAACCGACTGAAGCCGAATGCCAAAAGCGTTTTTACTTTTCAATAGCTGCTCAATATTTCAAGTTGTAATAGTGAAACTTAGTCGACTATTAATTGCCCTTTAAATGAGTTATCTGCCTATCTACGGTATATCTAATCTAATCTGTAACTCGGCTAGTTTTGTGTTCTGATAGCAATTCGTTGGAAATTCAAGCTTCATTTAATTTTACATTTTAGATTGAGATTGGGGATGTACTTACTCAATGCTGCCATAGTTTTCCATGTCGGCCACCTCCTCGACAACTTCGATTATTGCATCCGTGTTGTCTTCTTCGACAGTCATGAAAACTCCTTCCTCGGGTATGGCTGTTTCTTCGACATCCTCTTCCTCTTCGACAACCACATCTTCCTCAAACTCTTGTTGCTCCTGTTCTTGCGTCTGCAGCTTCTCTTTGAGAACAATTGCATTTAACGCCTCTTCTTCCTTTGTTCTCCTTGTGGATATGCTGCTATTGTGGCTGCTGCCTGCGCTGTTGCGTGGCTTCTTGTGGACGACGATGCCATCTGTGAGATTGGATACATTGAGTTGTTCGACGGATAGATCCCCATACTCCTGTTTGATTTGTTCCAGAGACTTTCCAATGAAATGCAGCGGCCGGAACTTGAGCTTCTTATTGTTCTTTTTGTTAATTTCATTGAAGAGTCGCCGTTTAATGTCGTCCTCGCTGAAAGGATGACTGTGGCTGTTGTAGACACGCAATACACGTATTGATCCGTCTTTTTGTGTGGCCGTCGATATGCGACTCTTGCAATTAATCTCAGGATCACGACTCTTGATGCACACCCAATAGTTGCGTGAGATGAGGCCACGATTCTTGGCATGATAGATGTAGCCATCGACGCAAAGCATCTCGCTGCCCTTGGCCGACCGCAAAGTACAGATTTTTGTCAGATCCATGTCCGCGGGAGTCGCTGTTAGTTGGGTGTTATTGCATGTGGGTACTGGGTTGGTACGACGCTTCCGCAGATTGGTCAGTTGTGGCTTGGGTGTCGATGTGGAGGGCTCCTCAATGGCCTCTAAATCATTGGGAAGTATCTCAATTTTGGCGCTGATATTGTCGGCTCCATCGTCCATATACTGCACAATCATTGAGGCTGCCTTCGCCTGCTCGGGCTCCATTTTGATGCCATCAATTCCAATTACCTTCTTCATCACCACATTACGATGGACATCGCTAGTGTTGGAAGATGACGACTGATCTTTCAGTTTCTCAAAGTGGCCATCTTGCTCAGCAACTGGCTCGGCCTCCTCCTCTGTGTCCAACTCATCCTGACTTTCAAAATCAGTCTCCTCAGTGCCAACTGATTGCCTGGCCGTATCGTCCTGTTCCTGTTTGTCATTGCCTTCTTGTTTGGTCATCTCTTGCAACTTTTCCTGTTTCCTTTGTTGATTAATTCGCCGCAGTATCTCCTGCAGATCGGGCTTGTGTGTGTGCTCGCCGTTGATGCGCAACACCTCTGGCCCGTTCTCGGCGGGATCCAGTGTGACGCGAACATGACAGCTTTGCTGCTTGTCGCGTCGCATAATGCACGTGAAGAACATGTGCCCATTTGCACGGCTCTGTGAGTCGAAGTGAAACAGATGACGATCCAAGCAGAGTACCTTGCGTCCTTTCGCCGATGGAAGGAATGTAAACTTGGTCAAATCGGTTTCGCTCAGCGGATCATAATCCGCCGGACTCACATAATTATCAATAATATCAGCTGCATTTGGCCATTTCATTTCGTCATCGGGACTTGGATGTTCCTGCTGCTGTGCTTCGGGCAGCGTAGACTCATTGGTGTCTACATTCATATACACTTCATAGTTCTCCTCGCAATCTTCAATGATTATTGAGCCGACATCGTCACCCTTCATCTGAGATTCTATGCTCAGCTCGGGATCAAAGTACTCCAAATTGGGGCACTCCTGTAGCACTTCTACTGTTTGCTCATCGTCCACCAAAAGAATCTGATGTCTGGTAAACATTTGCATGAGCTTGTCAGCGGAATAGTGTGGATGTATATGCGCATCCGATTCCATCAAATGCAACCGATGTGCCCCAGCCAAGGTGGCTTCCGTGCAGATCTTTGCAGTGCATTCAATATCACGCTTCCGCACGCATGTCCATCGGTACAAGTCGCCCTTGTACGACTTGCCAGCCAGATAGTAGAGATGTCCATCAATGCACACCATGACACGCCCATCGCGACGACGCAGCATGTAAACTCGATCTTTGTCCTGCAGAATATATTAAAATTGATTTTAAGTGTATATCTTTACGATACTGTTTGTTGACTGTTGTATAGGAATGCTTAACGATAATTCCCAGACCTGTATAAGACTATAAATGTATACTCCTATGAGTGAGTAGAAACCTAATAAATTAATGAATAAATTATGCGTGAAGAGCAAGGCTGTGTATAGATTTACTAACTTAGCGGCTTAGTAAATCTAAGCCTAACAAAATGATTCTCAAACTGTAATTTTGAACTGGTAGGCATTTTTATAAGAATCTGTAAAATTAGCTAACTAAAAATGGTTGAATTATTATTTCTAAATAAACATGATGCAAAATTTGCATAGCGTAAATTCATTTCCCACAAGGAAAATTGACATTGATGCACACACCTCAAAGTCTAGGTGAAATGAATATTGAAGTGCTTCGTTTTCTCTGCTTGTGGATATCCATTCGGGAGGATTAAGGCCAGCTGCGGCGCGTTCGTATAGCCGGGCGCGCTTTGGCTGTGTGGTGCTGTAGGCATCGTTCATTTTCATGTTAGACAGACGCTTGCGTTGTGAGACTTTTGTTATCTCATGATCGCTGCAGCGTGGATGTACATGTTCCTGAATAACATCGACCACGACATGTTTGCTCTTGTCCATTGAATCGGGAACGATGGTGGAGATGCGCGAGCGGCATGGCGTCACTTTATCCTTTCGGCGATTGCATAGCCAACGGTATGTGTTGTTCTTGCCAATGCGATCGAAATGATAAAGATAATCATCCACACATAGCATATCTACGCCCTTGGCGGAGCGCACGACATATACTTTAGATAAGTCCATGTCCATATGCTCATCCATTGTTTTGAATTACGGTGCGGTCGTAAATTCAGGGTTTTTTAGCTTCTTTGCCGTTTTTGGTGTGTGCCCAAAAAATGTTGGGCAGAAAATGAGTCTATTTTGCTCTTGTTGTTGCTGTTGCTTGGGATTTTTTGGGGTATTTTCAACACACTTTGTTTGACGCGCCAAAACTTGTGGGCGGTGGAGTTAATGGACGTAGTTCTGACTTATTTTGTTTTATTATATAAAATAAAGCTTTATTTGTAATTTTAAGGTTCAGTTTATGCGCACATTTTACGACGCGACGAAAAATTATTTGCTCTAAACCAGGGCTGACAAATAGGCCGCATTGGCGTTGCCACTGTGCAGTCTGTACATTAATTAAACAATAATAAACAAAATATAAAAATTTATTTTCTAGTTTGGTGCGCTTTTTCCCATTGAACGTTGATGATGAGGAGAGTGTTGGTGATCTATTGCTTCAAATCGATAGTATATTGCAATATGGAGAGGATGCTGATGTACAAGTGCGAGATTTTGATGAACCGGAGGAAAATGAGGACCCCAATGCGGATATGTAAAAGTCTTAAGTTTATTGTTAATAATTAATTAAATAATACGTATTAATGTAAATAAATGTATATACAAACAACTTTATTTGCGTGTAGTTTCATAAGTTGCCTAATGAAGTATTTGTTAATTTAAAAAATCATGCTGCCCTGGTTACTTGGTTATCCGACGCTTTTCAACACTTGAATCTTGTGCTTCTTGTTTGAATGCGTAGCGTCAGGTTTCGTATATATAAACAATAATAATTTTGAATGATACTTGAAGCTAAAATATGGATGGATCTGATGAGGTCAATACCGCAGCTGTGATGACACAACTGGATATATCGACACGTTTGGCCGCATTGAACCGCTGGCAAGAGGAGCAAAAACGCCTATTAGAAGAGCGTCAAAACAATCAGCGCCTTATGCTGGGATTGGAACACCGCAATATGTATCAAATGCTTGGACTCTTGCACGATAAGCTTAACACTATGGACGAGAGTGCCGTAGATGTATGTCGAATTGAAAACACTGACAAGCAGCAAACAGTGCAGGAACAGCAGCAAGAATCATCAATCATACAAATGCCGCGCCATGCGAACAGGCAGGCTGAGGCGGAAAAGACTGAGCAATGCTTCCAACTTGGAGAAATTCCTACTAGTCCGCGGCCCGCAAAACCTAAACAGCCGTTTTTACGGCGCGGCGAAGGTCTAAAGCAGCGTTTCAAAGTTGATCCGGATCAATTGCGTTTAAATAATTTACCGCGCTACAAGTTTGCCAATGCTCATCCACAGTACCGCAAGCCAATCCTGATGAAAAAGGAAAAACGCAGCATTCTAAAGACGCAAAAAGAGCCAAGTGTTGTGCAGAAAACAATAGCATTGCCACCACCTCCACCCCAACCGGCAGCTGTATTATCGATGAAGGAGCAGCGCTTTCAGCAACCACTGATAAACAACAAGAATGTGTGCAGCTCCACGCCGGATCTGAAGTCTTCCTATGCTTCGACTAGTAACACCAACTCAAGTGTATCGCCCAAGGTGCGCTTTGTCGAGCTTAACGATGCCAAAGGACAAACGGCAGATGATGAACACTCTTCTGAGGCAAGTTCCAATGCACTGGCAAATGTGTGTTGGGCCAAGGTACTGGACTCGAAGCAGATTAAACCGCCTGTACTGCATCGACGTAGTGCCCAGATACGTGTGGAGGACGATGACAATATTAGCATATTTGAGCTGTTGGAGCAGAAGGCACGTGAGGGCAACGTAGATATGAATTCTAGCTGCATACGCACATTCATGGCACGCAAGGAGATGCATCGTCAGGTGGATGCCGACGATAGTGATCAGATAGTGATTTCCCAACAGTTGCGTGAAATGCACCTCCAACCAGAGGTGTGTGACGTGATCAGTGAAAATGATGATGATGAAAATCAGGATGAGCAAAACACCACCTTGACCAGGACTCCTATTAAAATTACCGCAGGCAAAACTCAAGTACATGTGCGCTTCTCCGATTCCAATGATACACATGAATATTCAGATGAGGCAACGCTGCAGGATGGCACAAATGTGCAGCTCTTCGAAGAATTTAAATCGGCGCTGTTTCAGGCTCTGGAACAGAGAAAGACACAGCCAACGCAGAACGTCGCTGGCGATGAGCCGTTAACGCAAGAGTTGCAGTCGAAAGCGAATTTGGTGCGAATACGTCTCGAGGAACTGGAAAAGGAAATTGCCACATTTAAGGAACAAAATGCTCAGCTTTTGCGGCTTAAACAGCAACACGAACTGGACCAGGCCAAGTGTGCACAAGATCAGTTGGAGGCAATGGAACGTGTGCATGATGAGAAAATCCAAGCGGAAATCTATTTGCACGATGAGCGAATGAAGATTGAAGAGGAGCGTCGCAAATTCGAGCAGCAGATGCGTCTTCAAAAGAGCAATGTCAATAGCAAGGAGAAAAAGGAGCTGGCGCTGCTTAAGCAAGAGGTAGAGGCTCTTCAGCTGCAGCTTAAACAAAAGGAACAGACTCACGTGTCAGCACAGGCGCGGCTTCGTGCTCAGCTGCGTGCCCAGGAAAAGGAGCAACGCAACTGCAGGGACGAGATTGAGCTGCTTGGACGTGAAAACAAGCGACTGGAGCAGGAGCTTGTGAAGATAACTCGCGAGAGCAATAGTAAAATGTTGCAGGAAATCAATCGGAATATTGCCCGCTTGGCCCCAAAGCTGGTAAGTAGCTTACAAATATTTTAAAATGTAATTACATCAAGTTTAATATTTAGCAGGAGACAACAATGCCTTTAGCCAAAAACACGGACGAGAATGGCAAACGGCAAAACAAGTCTATTACGGAGATATTGCAGGATAAGGCGACGAGCAAACAGCGACGACAAAGTCGAAGCCGAAAAAAAGCTGAGCCACTGAATGAAAGTTATGCATCAAGCAGCTCCTTTGATATGGATGAGGTGATACCCTTGCCAAAGCCAACAAAGTCAGCCACAGCAACTGCTGAACCAATTCTTACCGAGCGCAACAAGAATAACAAACACAACAGAAACAACAACAATGAAAATAGCGAATTTAAGCGGGAGATTGTGAATGCGGATGGTAGCAAAGACATTTGGTATCCAAATGGCAATCTTAAGAAGATCAGTGCCGATGGCATGAGCGTGCGCATGCTGTACTTCAATAAGGATATTAAGGAAACAGACATACGTGCCGGCACAGTCAAGTATTATTACGCAGAGACAAACACATGGCACACTAGCTATCTGGACGGCCTGGAAATACTCGAGTTTCCGAATGGACAAACCGAGCATAGACACAAAAATGGGATCATCGAGATTCATTTTCCAAATAATACCATTAAAATTGTAGATCCCAGTGATACGGAAAAGTTAGAAGAATGGCGCTACGCGGATGGCACGCACCTTGTTCAACTGCGAAACGGTGATAAGATATTAAACCTTCCCAATGGACAAAAGGAAATACACACGAAATTGAACAAACGTCGTGAATATCCCGATGGCACAGTTAAACTCGTCTATCCGGATGGCAGCCAGGAAACACGTTATTCCAATGGCCGTGTCCGACTCAAAGATAAGGATGGTAAACTAATAATGGATACGGACTATGCCAAGTATTAGATACGTTTAGCATCTGCATTTAATTAAATATTTTATACAATTTTATGTAATTAGTTATGCTAAAAATAAATACTAATTGTTAATATTAATATAACGAGCAAATTTACATTATTAAGAATAACATTGCTAGCTATTGACTATCCATAAAACTATTGCAGTCAGTGAAGCTTACATTCGGCTCATCTGCTACTTGATCAGAAGATTGCAACATTTCAGGGTTATCCATGGCTTCGGCCATCATAAGCTGCTTTTGAAAGAAGCTCACATCCTGGTTAAATATTTTTGATGCAAATTGAATTATTTGCTGATACGTGAATTCGCATTTTGCACGTTGACCCCAGCCGTAGGTAATCTTGGGGTCGTCGTAGGGACTCAGTTGCGATCGCTCTCGTTTCAGGTACTCTTGCTTTACAAACGTCTCCTCAATCAGTTTTGATATTTCGCTGCCAAAGTATTCATGCTCCTCGTGCACATTAACTCCCAACATGTCCAGCATAGCAAATAGCTTGGATTCTTCAATACGACAGCCGCGTAAGAAGGCGTACGTAAGTATAATGTAGAGCAATGTAAATTGCGGACGTTGTGCAGCGGTTAGTTCGAAGGTGGACGTTGGTGGTGATTCGGCTATACAAATATATCTCTTGGGATTTCCTTCGAGCTGGACCACCTTAATGCCGTAGCGTTCTTCCAGCAGTTGGGTGACCAACGGAAATCTCTTACTGACTTCCGTTTTCCCATCTGCCAGATGTATCAAATCATTGTGTTTGATCGGAACTTTATTAGCCGAATGGCATAGAATGTAATTTAGAATAGCGCGAACTTGCTGATCTATCTCGATATGTTGCGATTCCGCCTGGGTTGCATTTGTTGATTGCTGGGAATGTGATCCATTGCGTCTTCGTGAGGCATTTCGTGATGTACTGGCCATTAGTTTGCTTGAATCTAGTTTGTCTTCAATTTATTTATGACTGAGCGCGAAATGGCGAACAGCTATTAAATAAATCCGATAGAGTTGTCAGCACTGTGAAAATCTGTCAATAAGTTGTTAACATTGCCGAATTGAGTAATATGTAAAGTGTTATCGATAATTTTGTGGTATAACATATTTAACTTAAGATATTAAGAACTTTATTTGTTTTTATTAAACATGTAGACTATTTAATTGAGCATCTAGCTTTTGAAAATTAATTTTTAAAATACATACTAGTTTCGGATTTATTACGGTAAAACCAAAAACCATTTGTCAAAAGTTTAACGTAACGCTTATTTCATAACGGCTTTTCAGATATCTATAAAATAAAGCTAACTAGAAAGCAAATGATTTACGTTAAGCTTTTCGGCTTTTAATATCTTAAGCTTTGTAAAAATAGCTGAAACACAAAGCAGCGTCTTTCTCTACAGTCAACATTTTCACCTATAGTCGTTAAATAAATAATAGCCGTTAAATTAATGTAGTCGTAAAATAAATGAAAATCCTGTAAATAGATTGATTTGCATACGTAAGTCAGTGCCAAAGTAGTTTAAGCAAATCTCGTTAACCTTGACTAAATTTAAAATTTCTCTTTCCCCACTTTTGCCATCAATTAGCTAGTTTCATGTGCATGAATCAAAGTGTGCCAAAACGCTTGAGCAAATGGCTTTTAAGTACGTCCATAACAATAGATTTATGATTTTTATTGATTTATTGCCTCAAGCTCGGCCCTTTGCCAGCTAAGCAGAATCCATCCAATATAATGGCAGTTAGCTGAGACGCATTGACGCTGTCGGTCTGATGGGTCTTCACTGCAATTGATGCAGATGAGCATTCAAATTGCATTTATCATCAAACTCGTGTATGCTGTGTGAAGTGCTTAGTTGTTGTTTTAATTAAAATGGCAAAGATATGCGAATGGCAGCAGGAAGCAAACAACTTTCAAAACTAAATGCGAATGACATGCACGGTCAACATTCACCAGACGAGCAGCTCGTCAAACAAAACAAAATTGCAGCAAACGAGCGAACGTAATGAAATTGAAATGCATTTCGTGCGCAGACACGCGCCTTGGACCCGTCTGCCGGCTTTGGTTAAACATAGTTTATTGCCTTGAAATGTGTGTTTTAGTGAAAACTAGTTATATCTGGGTACCTGCGTCGGGATCTGTTGCAACTGCGTAACTCTTGCCATACACACACACACAACACACACTTTTACTCACACAAACAGAGGCTTCCTCACTCTCACACACACACATTTGCTTATACACATACAATATAGCTATGCGCATGCGGAAGGCGCTTAAAACTGTTTGGCAAGTTGGCAAATCTTTAATTAATTTTCCATTGTATATGGGCTAAAAACAAAGTAAAATTCAACTCATACATTTTTGCATATCTTTTGTGCGTCCGAAATAGAAGTTGGTAAATTCCGTTTATTTGTTTGCCATTTGATGCTCGATTAAGAACTTTGGTCTGCCCACGAAATTTGCATATGAAAAGCCTGAGAATTCATATGCATATTAGTGTGGATAATTATCATTATTATTATCATCAGCGCAAAGCAAAAGTGAAATGTCACGAGCCATACAACGAGCTGTAGTAGAAACTCTGTTGGCCACATGCATGAGTAAACAATAACAAAACTCTTTAACTTTAACTTCAACTTTAACTTTGGCGTTGACTTTCTATACACAGATCAACATTTTTGCTTTCAAAACGCGCAATGTAATGTCAACGTTTTGTTTATTTTTTTTATGGCGTCTGGCTAATTGTAGTCTACGAAGAAAATTTTGAAAAGAAAGTCAAGGTCTTCGGCAAGACTGTGACAACAAACTGGCATCGCAGCTATTTGCTTTTTGAGTGAAATGTACATTAAAATTTAGCAAATGGCCAACGCGCAAGTCATTTAGAATTTCCATGGTAAACTCGCAGCTCGCGGGAAACGGGTTTCATTTCAAATGCTATATAAAAACTATTAATATATTTATAACAAAAATTCAAACAACAAAGAGCATAAATGCGAAAGTCGTGCTGAGATACTCTGACAATGTTACTCTTACTTTTGTACACCCGTAAAACAATAATAAATTATAGAAACTGATATTAAAAATTATAAAATTAATTATAATAATGAATAATAAAAAAGGATAATGAAAGTGATAATGAAATTGGTAATAACATTGCTAATAATAATTATAAAATAAATAATAATAATAAAATGAAATCGCTGATGACAATGATAATTACAAGAAAAATGCTAATGAAAATGAAAATGCTAATAAAAATGAAATTATAACATACAATATTGATAATGATAAAGATAATGACGATAATGCTATTGAACATGCCAATGATAATGACAATCATAATGCTAAATATAATGCCAATGATAATGCTGATGATAATAAAAACTTTTATAATAATAATAATAATAAAAGTAATAATAATAATGACGATTTCAATAATAATAATAATATTAATAATAATAATAATAACAATAATAACTACAATATTTTATAATAATTTTGCTCTGTTACTTGTCTAATTCACTCCACATACTTTATGTCTAACAAGCACTTGAATCAGTCTATAATATACGCCGCAATATTAGACATGTTCGGCCATTTTAAGCCGGCTAGTTCTTGGTTCAATCTGGTTGCCTGCTGTGCTTGAAAGTGGTCTACCTTCAGCTGGCTGTTTGACATTCTTGTCGAACTGGTGTCAAGCTGCTTGTGAAGTGCACACGCGCCTCAAGCCACAGCAACGGCAACAACATTTGCTGCGGCTTAAGCCTCTGAACCGGCATTTTGATTAGACGGCAAACGCAAATCGAATTATGACTGTGCCGAGAGACCAGCTATGGAATTTGTGCTAAATATCAATAGGGTTCGCAATTAACAACATTTTTCCAATATAGACATTTACATTATTCATGTTGCGATTCGTCTATAAATTTTGGCAGCCCACCTCGTTTGCATAGCCAAGCGATGACAAGTTCTGCTTCGAATCAGGCCAATTAAGATGTTGCCTGGTTTTGACCCAAATAGTCTGAACGAAGCATGGCCTCCACATTTAGTTAGCTTTGCTTGCCTGCGCTGATAATCAAATTAGGCGCTTATCAACAATTTTGCAACGCGCCATAAAGTGCAACAATAAGCAATAATTAACGAGTTATACTTTTATGTATATATGGTTATACTCGCAGTCCGATTCACTCGTGCATGCCGAATCGCGCATACGCACAGTGTGCGAAGTGCTTAAATAGATAACTGCATTGGCAGGGGGTCTGCTGCCATTGTCTTCGATATAATATGTTCGCATTTGAGCTAACAATTATGCGCTAAGCGGATCAAAAGTATTTATTTAATTATTTAACTGTTGCCCAGGCATTAAATTGATCTTGAAGTTGGGAAATGAAAAATGTTTGCAGAGTTAAGTAAAGTTATTTAAGACGTAAGCGGATGAAAAACTAATACATATAAAAGACTCGAGCTTAAATTTTAAAAATTTTTAATTTATATTTATAAGTGCATGCTTGAATGTGGGCGTGGTAGATGCCATGCAGACGGACACTGCAAAGTTAAAAGCGCAAATGTCATTTAATTGATGTTTTTGGTTTTTAGGATGTTCATATTAGATTTTTCTCTTCAAATACAAGTTCTCGCAATAAACTTAGCACTACTAATATCGACTCAACTGAAATGTAAATGAATTTATTTATGCTCTTTGACCATAATACTTTGTTCGGCTACAATTTGTGAAGGTCATCAAGAAGTTGTTTCTAGTTTTATTAGTTTCCTTGGGCGCTTTGTTTTCGTGGTCTGCGGCTTGTTGAGTCTTGTTTCGATTTTGGTTTCGGTTTTTAAATATCTTGAATTGCTCTTGAGATCGAGATTCACGATCACGACGGCTATTCTAACTACTATTTTAAGTTTTATATCTTATCTACTAACGGCATGTGAACTTTATGGCTTTAAAGTGGGCCAAAAAAAAGAAAACAAAAAAATCCCCAATGTTTCTATTATGTTTAATTCATGGAGGTTATTAATTATGAATTGGATACATGCATAGTTATATTTAACAAAAAACTATTGCTATTTTAAGCTTACATTGAGAGTCTAATTGAACTTTAGCTCCGGCTGCTCAGGGGCCAAAATAACCCTACAATGAGTCAGCGTGCTCTACTCAGAAATACCTCACATAATTCTCTACGCTTGCTAAATACCAAACAGTTGCTCATGAAATTCAATTCAATTTCGGTTTTTTTCTCGACTTACGCGAACATTTTCGTGACGTTTTTGAACCAACTTTCGCAGCTCGTGAAGGTCGATTGACTGCTGTTTATATATATATATATATATATATATATATATATATATATATATATACACGCTTTTTTTTAGCCAGACTCGTATCGAATATGACAAATCTGAATCACATTGCTTTGTTTCGTATTTAGTATGCAGTCGTCGACGTTGTCGCCGACAGCCTTGAGCAAACATTTGCATTTCAGATGGGAGAGCAGTAAAAAAACATATTACATCAATCTTGCCCAGCTTCCTGTGTGAAAACTTTCACAGCTCTGCGGCCCAAAGGCAACAAAAGATTATCATCATTGTATTTAATTTATAATTATTATAAATTGGTATCGCATCGCATAAAATTAACAACATAGTTTTTGGGACAAGTTGCGTAGCTCACAGATCACTCTGAAGTCATGGTCATGGCTAATAGATTGACTGGCCAATGTGTCAACGACTCTTGCACCTGGCATCAAAATGTCAAACGACTATTCAAATGACAATTTAAAGTGTTTTTATTTTTGTGGGTCATTTACACTCGCAAAACAGCTCGAGCTGAAGCTTGAGCAATGCCATTTAAGTGTGTATTTGTATGGTTTAATAGCGTCTCATACAGTGCTTAACATTGAACAAACTTGTACACCTGTACACCAGTTCTTTTCTAATTGTCTTTAGTCTGCATGAAGAACGACTATGTTATGCAAAATATTAAATACTCTTACAGACATAGTCCATATGCTAACTTTTATTTAGAGCGCATCTTGGTGGCGTGCTAAGTTGACAGAAAAGTGTTTAA